AATTGTCCTCGTTGTGTCCAGCCTCTTTTCGGAAGGATCCCTACAGCATATTAGCCAGGACCCGACGTCAAGCAGAGATACACTTCTAACTTGTACTCCCTGAGGGTGGGCAGAGAATATATAGTCTGGATTCAAATTCAGGTCTGTGCATGTCGGTTGTGGGTCACCATTTCTCTGTTTTCTCGCTTTTCTTTTCTTTTTTCGTTTTTCTTTTCTTAGGAATACGTGCAGTGGCCCTAAGGGCCTTTACTCACCAAATGCACAAAAGACAAAACATATGGTGGCGTATTATTCCACGTTCTGCAGAAGATTCATTCTAATTTTGCACATTTCGTGAGTAGTGCAGCCAAGCCCTAAGAGTCACGTGCAGAGACCAACAGGGCCTAGCTACGTGAGCAACCCATAACTGCTGAAACACAGACCTGAATTCGAATCTTGAGTATATATTCGGCCAGCTGGTGCTCTATTTCATATTCACTGCCTGCCTTGATTTTGGTGGGGGGGTCTGCGCTACATATCTGCGAGGACCCTTCAGATAGCCTGCATGGTCCGTCTGAGCCGTGTTAAGGGGATCTGTTCTCTCTCTCTCTCTCTCTCTCTCTCTCTCTCTCTCTCTCTCTCTCTCCCCCCCCCTTGTATACACACACTGAAACGGTATTCACCACTTCGCAGTAGCTGATGCAGATCCCAGGGCTCGATCCCTAGTTCCCCACCTTGCCTGTGTACAGTAACTGTGTCAACCCGTAGATTTGAACCTGCGACCTGTAGGACCGCCAGTGGTAGGTAGGATCTCGTAGGTTACAGGGTATAGGGGATTCAAACTGTAGACCTGTCGGGTAGGAGTCTAGACAGTCCAGAGGTTGTAGCTGTAGACTGTCCGAAGGGTCAAAGTCGTAGCTGCTACTTACCTGAAAGGGCAGAGTCGTAGCTGCTACAGTACCGAAAGGCCAGGTAGAGAGTTTTAGAAGTGGCCTTTCGGAAGTCAGCCCACTGTAGGTCTAGGCAAGTGGGCAAGTGGGTAAGTGGGCAAGTGGTGGAAGTCCACCACGCAGAGTCAGCAGTCCCAGTCCAGCCAGTCCGGTCCAGTCAAGCAAGTACCGTCTGGGACTGTGTGCACCGGGGGCCAGGGTTACAGGGCAGACCAACGCATCACAGAAGTATAAATCAAGAGGCCGCGCCCAGCCATTCATTCATTCCTGCGGAAGCCATGCGGAAGCGCTGCCTCAGCATCTTGTGCGAGGAGGTCTGCAGTGTGCCCGAAGTCGAGTGGGCAGAGAAGTGTAGTATAGCGATAGGGTAGTGGCAGCTAGCGCTGCCATAGCTATAGTAGTGTGTGTGTGTGCGTGATGTGAGTGTGCAGAGTGTCGAGTGTGGGATATCCGGGTGATCTAGTGTGTGAACAGTGGATGTTGGGCGCTCAGTCGCCATAGTCAGTGGAAGTGAACTTACCTGGAAGCCATATCTCTGTGTACTGTGTGGGCGCATGTCGCCAGTTTGTTGTGCTGCTGTTCATGTGAATGAAAAGTGTGAAAGAGTCGAGTCTGATTGCATTGGTATCGGAGCTGGTACCCGCTGTCCCACGCGCGAAGTCGTGTGCATGGTTGAGGCGCCATAGCAGAGGTGGCCGCTGAAGGTGACAGTCCGCCATAGCGAATCTGAGGAGGAAGAAGCCGCCGCGCACCTGCAAGGAGACCACGACGAAAGAGAAGACTAAGAGAGAGAGAGAGAGAGAGAGAGAGAGAGAGAGAGAGAGAGAGAGAGAGAGAGAGAGAGAGAGAGAGAGAGAGAGA